CTGCGTCTGTTACATCACTGTACTAGCCCTCATCACTGCGTCTTTGACCAGAGTTGTCTTGTATGATCATTTATTTTTGGCGGTCGAAATAAAGGCATTGAAAAGAAGCATAGTATGCATTGAACGCCCCTCCCTAATTCCTCCCACTCGGGAGGAAGGGGGGGGCGATTTTTTTTATCCTTTTGGCAGACTCGGCCAGAGCTCTCGCGGAACCTGTAGCGAGCTCATTACGTACCGCCCAGTGGCCGCCAGAGTAGGGAGCAGACTCTCGTAGCTGTCTGACTAGGGATCGAAAATGAGAACCAAAAGCGGACATAGAGACGCTGATTTACGAGCCCCGAGTCCTAGGCGGTACCTATTTCAGAGTCGGACCCGCATCTGAATTTTGTTTGGGTATAGCACGATTCAGGCGCCGAGTCCTTGGCGACTATGGCAAATAAAACGCGTGTGGCAAATTCAATCACGTGTTTATTAGAATAATAATTTCCATACATAACGCAAATACGGTTGTTACTTACTTTGTTGCACACAAAACAGAAAGACTACTCAATCCCACATGTAATTTTGGTGGCGAGAAAAGCCCTGGCTGAAGACGTGAGCAACAAGAGGCTCACTCCGCTCTTAACTACAGGGATAACAATATAACGCTAATAAATGAATGGTACAACACATCAAGACACTAATACAAATCAATAAATCAATATCAAACAATCACATGTATTACAGATTTTTTCTAAAGGGAACAATTTTCTAACAAAGGGAACATTGAATTCGTGCTGAACATTATAAATACCAAAAGTAGTATACTCTTAATTAATTAATTGATCAGCCCAAGACATTTATGGACATGTTTAAGTTAAGCCTAGCTTTTCATTGCACATATCTTAGTTTTGAGTCTAATTAACCGCACTTTCAGCATTTGGCATTGGAAAACTTAGCTGTATTGAAAAAATTATTTATTTTCCATAATCGCCAGTCGAACGCAAAGAAACATCATAATTTTGAACGATCACCACAGGCGATGCCCGCTGACGGGTTAATTTCTTGACAATTCCGCAATCTATCCTTTTCTTGATCTCAGCATCACTTAACACTTCTGACAGTTTTACAGGCTCAGGAACAACAATTTCATACTTAATACATATTGCAAAAGATTTGTATCAACATGATTATCTAATTGTTGTTTAATATTCATCTCCACACCGTCTTCGCAATATTTTTCCTGCTACTTCACAAAAATTTTCAAGATTACGTACGGGCCAAAAGACTGCGATCCTTGCGTCGAAGAGCAAAATTTTCTCTGATAATCGCGCACCGTAAACCTAAGTGCAACAATCAGTTTCAAAAGTTTCAAATAAATACTCGCAGATATTCCACTAAACGTAATCTAATTCATAAAAGAACGAACCCAGGAGTTGGCAAATCCATTCTGAAGTGCATACATGGCCATCACCACCACCACCATCATTCACCATATCGTTACAAGCGACGTGAATAACTCTGCTGAGCTCTGTAACAAAACAAGAATTATGTTCATAGATTAAAACTCGTTTAACAAAATATCAAACTAATTGCGTTACAAATAGAATCGCATTAACAGTAATCATGCAAAATGATATGGAACTGCAAATAGACTGTCTAGGCCGTAAGTGTGATTATACGTATATTAATGACAGTAAAGTGAGTGACTTCCGTGCGTCATACAGAGCACATAAACAGTCTCATTAATCCCAAACAAAACACACACGCAGTCTCATTAAACCCACACAAAACATACACACAGTCTCATTAATCCCAAACAAAACATACACGCATCCTCTTTAATCTCACACAAAACACACACAGTCTCATTATTCCCTCACTAAACACGCACACAGACTCATTAATCCCACACAAAACACACACACAGCCTCATTAATCCCACACAAAGTACACAAACAGCTTCATTAATCCCACACAAGATACACACAGCCTCATTAATCCCGCACAAAACATACACAGCCTCATTAATCCCACAAAACACGCACACAGCCTCATTAATCCTACACAAGACATACACACAGCCTCATTAATCCCACACAAAACACACACACAGCCTCATTAATCCCACACAAAACACACACGCAGCCTCATTAACCCCACACAAAACACAAACAGACTCATTAATCCCACACAAAACACTCACAAAGCCTCATTAACCCCACACAAAACAAACAGAGACTCATTAATCCCACACAAAACACGCACAAAGCCTCATTAAATCCCAGATCACTTTCCGGGGCAGGGCCAAAGCTGTTCAACGCCCCACCAAGGGATCTAAGAGAGGGGGAGTTCACCCTGGAGACCTTCAAGAGATAACTGGACGTGTTCCTGGGCACAATCCCACATCGACCTCCCATGCACCACTACCAGCGGCGAGAAGCAAGCAACAGCATCAGGTGGCTTAAATGAGGGCGGATGAACGATAATCAGGGGCGGCGATCCATCGTGGCTTGGGACTGCTACGTCTCAAACAAATACTAAGGAAACTAAAGCAAAACACACACACAGCCTCATTACTCCCACACAAAACACACATAGCCTCATTAATCCCACACAAAACACATACCTAGCCTCATTAATCACACACAAAACACACACACAGCCTCATTAATCCCACACAAAACACACACACAGACTCATTAATCCAACACAAAACCCACATTATTGTCCTCGGAGGCGCATATGTATCCATGATACGCCTCCTGCAGTTCGGCGTCACTGGGCACCGCTGGTCCCCCCGGCGGCACGCAGGGCGTGATGTAGAGACGAACACGCCCATCACTGTGGGAGTGCGGCAGTGAATATCTTGTGTGGCATGTGGCATGTGGCATGCCAGCAGCCGCCATCGTGTGTGGCGGCTGCTGGTCATTTGTCCGCACATCTTGGGGATCCATTGGCCATTTGTCGGCCAATGATAATTGCCGACAAATGGCGACCAATGACGGAGCGCCATCTTCTTATCATTGATATAAGCAAAGTATCATTTATATATTAATTTAATACAAAAATATAGAACTATAATTTATTATTATTTTATTAAATTATGTTATAATATATTATATTTATAAACCCAATTAAATTAAGAATAATATTTTATATATATATTATTTAATATAATAAAATTATACATAATTATAACCTATATTACAATTATCCCAAATAATTTCACATATTCCTATATAATTACATAATAAATAAATAAATCATATATAATTATTGAGAATATATGTTTAAGATATAGGATTAACAATAATGACGACATATCATTATTCTGATATGTCAAGTGATAGTGATTGTCTTGATGATGGCGCGTGTCCAATGATTGGCTGCCATCTGAGTGGGCGGTCCATTATCGTCGGCAGCCATTTTGTTTCATTTAGCGGCGGCCATCAGAGACAATTCTACATCATTAATATCATTGTGATGTAGAATGATTATTATCATCAGCGATGCAGTAATATTGGCTCACAGTTTGGTGGCCAACATCCACTGCTTGACAACCTCGGCGCGCGTGTCGCCCCTGTCATCCGTCCTCAGGCCCTCGTCTCTCAGGGTCTGCAGCAGCTGCAGCAGCTCTACGGCGCTCAGCCTACTGCCGATCAGCGCCAGCCCCCTGAACCTGGGCACACAAACTGCAGTGTCATTTCCCCAGACACACAACCCTCCAAATTAGGTCGTCCCCCAGACTCACTATTACGATCACTAAATGCAAACAAATGATTAGGTCTATAACGATTTAAACGATTTAAATTTATGAATATACGATGTATAACTGTAGGATGTATGACTATACGATGTATAACTATACGATGTATAACAAATGGAACACTATTTCCCCCGCGGGGGTCGGGGGACTACGCACCTCTTGCCAGGGGGGGCGAGGGAGGTGATTGTAAAAAAAGAATTTCTGGATTTGGTTAAACTGTTCTCGGTTTTGAGGCAGCAGGCTAAAAAGTGATCTGTGTACGACAGAACAGTTAAAAATAGTACGTGAACGCAAGCTGTCCATTTTTCGAACGGTAGTTTTTACCTATTCTAAAAAAGTATTTGGTGATATTTTTTTGTATTAAGAAGTCTATAATGTAATCTATTGATAATTTACGCATATTATATAAAATCAAAAGCCAATTTGTTGGTGATATATATATATTTCTTTAAAACTCAATAGCTTGAAATAAATACACTCATGTCTTTAAGAGCGGTTAAAATATTGGAAACCTATCGCTGCTTGCCCGCGTTATGGTCAAGTGTCGTCTAGCGGTCGCCTCATGTTGGTTGCCGGCTGCCGCGGATATAATTCTACATTATTTGCTAATTTGGGGAATTTAGAATATGAATAAACTCCATATGTAATATATGTGTTTTTTGTGTGAATTTGACCGAAAATTTGTCAGTGATTTTATACCTGTGAGTTGATGTGTTGATAATACAGCTCCTAGGCTACAGTAACTTTCGTAGCTAAGTGTCGAATAATGGCGAACGGCTGTCATGGTCATTTGAAACTAGGATAAAATAATAATAAACTACTTTCTTGTTTCACACGTCTTTGATTTAGAATTTTCATATCTTTTAGCCACTACAATTATTTTTGCAATAACGAAAACACATAAGCTAGCTACTATCTGTTCCTCTAGCCTCAGTCCAATATATCTTGTCCCTGACTTTGCTTGCGCCCCTGACTTTGTTTTTGTCCCTGACTAATGACTAGCTATGTGACTATGTCGTATTTCCTATACCAAAATTCAATGTATATGTGGTTGCCAGCCAATACAAAGACTGACTCCTAATGTCTTTTCAAGATTACCAAGCTCCAGCCTCCAAGTTGATGCTAAATAATTTTAGTGAGCAATCCCTAATATTTATTGGATTGTTCTCCAGCACTAGTGGGAAGTGGGGCATATGAGAAAGACGAGTTACACTGGAGGTGCTACTAGTACTAAATGAGGGTGACATACTTTCAAAAGATTTCCTACTTACCTCAGGAGGGTGGATATTGGAATATTATTATTTTTTGGATAATCAATTCAAAGTGAAACCTCACATTAGTATACATGAGTTTTGAAAACCTATGGCTAAATGTTACTTGATAACCATAATCTTAGGAGAAGTCCATAGTGGCAAAGCAGAGAGTTTTTTAGACTTCTTCAAGTTCAATTTGAGTCCTATAAGTAGACCAGCAAAGTATCATGGATATCAGCATCATCATACATAAGATATTGGTTCAAATCTCAAATAAATGAGGAAATTTAAAATGAACTGATTTTAAAAATTGATAGTTTGCCACTTTGCCCACTACTGTACTAGATACCACATGGCTTACTCTCAGGGTTGGCAAGGATTAAATCAAACTGATTAAATCATGTGATTAAATCATTTCATTTTTCAATAGAAAAATTGTCATTTTTTATTTATTTTTATTTTTAAATAGTACCGTCAAATGGGGTAAAAAGGGATGGTTGAGCGTTTTTTGTTAATAACTTCTTAACATGAAACATTTCAGAAACAAGTCTAGGCTCATTTCATAGCTCTTTGCGAGGGCTATCGAATGGCATCTTCAAAAAAATTCCATATGCTATTTGTAAGGCACTAGACGCAATATAAAAGGCTCCTGAATTAATCTTGAATGGGGTAAAGAGGGACACTTGAAATAAAACTCAATTTCAAACATTTGAAGCATGCAGAGTGTACTCATCTATTACTAACAGTACTCTGAAGTCCTCTTCTTTCATTGTAGATGATGTAGATGTACCATAAATGACATTTTCTGTGATTTTTTTGCTTATTTTTCTTTTATTGATATGATATTACCATATTCATTAATTACCGTATAAGTGAATTTTTTTGCCGAGCGAGGTAAATGTAATCAAAATTCTTTGTTGCTAATCAATTTTTTTGTTAACTGGAGCCTTTGCTAACTGAGGTTCTACTGTAAATGCATTTTTAAGGGTGTCCCTAATTACCCCGGGGAGTGTTCCTTTTTACAACACTTCTCTTTAACTTCACTTCTTGTTTGTTTGTCTGTCTGTCTGTCTGCTACACATCTTATAATCGATATTTAACACACTTCTACCTGTCCTATCGATCTGAAATTTGGCACACTTGCATAAAGTTGGAGACAATGCATGAATCAATTGACAGAATATATAATTTTATCGATTAAAAAATATTTTTTCATTATTACAAAATTTAAAAAAAAATTTCATCTTCCACAAATCTTATAATCCATATATGAGACAATTTGACCTGTCCAATTGATCTGAAATTTTCCACAATTGCCTAAAGTCAGAGACAATGCATGAATCAATTGACAGAATAAATAATTTTGAAAATTTATAAAATTTTGATATCTCAAAAAAATTTTTTTTCAATATTTGAAAATAAAATTAGAAATTCATTGTACCTGTGTAACATCCAAGACACTGTATTGTTCAGAAGTGTTGTCTTTAAAAAGTAATTTTTAAATGCATATTATTTTGGAATGAGATAGGCATATTCTGTCAATTACGTTTTCAAGCCGACACCTGGGTGCAACTTTTATGTAAGTAAAATTTTTCAATACGACGAATATTTTTTTTGCTCCAGACCTAAGCAGAGGTACTTTTCCAAAATCGCACTTTTCACATTTTTTTTCAGCGATTTTTTTGAGATAGTAAATGTTTGATTTCTTGACTAGCTTTATACATAATAGATCGTAAAAATGTTGAAGTTTACGCCACTATTTTTAGTTTTGCAATATTTTGATTAGTTTATCTGCTAAACATTTCTAAGAAATGTGGGACACGTGTCCCTTGAAGGCAATAACTGCCTTTTTTAGCCATCCATGTACTGTTATTGTTAGTAGGTTATTTGTAACATAAAAAATAACATTTCAAAAAGACAAAAAAGTTGAAAAATTAAATAAATCAAATAAATAAAAAAATCATGCAAAAATCAATTAAATCATTGATTTTTTATTTTTTTTAAATCAAAAAATCACCAACCCTGCTTACTCTACATCACACACTAACCCCCCATCCTCTCTGAGGCTCTCTCCTAGACTCCTCCCAATGACTGTAGTAGCAGTAGCACCATCATGTTTCTTTCATTGGCTGGTGCCTCTTACTGTTCTTACTGTTGCCACTTACTATAATATTCCTAAGTTCATCATCTAAAACTATACTATTCTTGTATAGAATATCTATAACATATGTTATTTATATAAGAATACTGATAAGATTTGCTGTTTGATCAAATATTGAGCCATGAGTCCTTTTAATGTCATCCCCATTGTTTTTTTTCATTTAAAACTTTTTGCAGATGTTGCAGATCTGTTCTGACTAAGGATTAGCTTACATATAACCTAATTTTTTGAGTTGTTTGGTAATTTTCTATTGCTATTGTACATTTTTGAAAAATAAATTGATTTTGATACTCAATTAGAAGCCCTGAGCTGTCATGAGTGAACATCGACGAAACTATTCAGAGCTCACATCTCGCCAGAAGCATCGACATAGACAGGAAGCCTTCTCCCTCAAACCTTTAAAGATGTCAAAACTACTAACAGAATCATAAATTACTGACCCAGATGATACTGCAGCATTAGACAAATGCAACAGGGGGAGAATTGGATATTCATATTGGCGAGGCATGGAAAAAAAGTGAACAATAAACACCAGTTAATTTTGGAATACACTCGACTATCTCAGAAGAAGAAAAAATACAAAAAGTTATTCTGGAGCTATCTGTACAAGACAAAACTGTGTCTGATTCATCCATTGCTCGGCTTCTGAAAATTTAGGGCACTCTTCGCTCCCTGAAGTCCATCTGCGCCGATACTAATATGGTGGTCAACGAGATACGAGATCGGCTTCCTGCTAACGCCAAACCTTTAGTCTGGCCTAATCGTCGCCCAGCGTCAACCTTCGAAGAACTGGACGGGTTGATGTCAACTGAGGAGTTGGTGAGTTTAGTTTAATACTGCACTAGCTGAGTTGGTAATATGATCCACACAATATAACAAATGGAACTCATAATATTGGGCAATCTATTGCATTATTAAGTGTCTTAATTTATAACGTATCTCTCACATGGCGTCTCTTTGCTACACTTTTAATCTATGCTCTTGAACACTAGACTTTCTGTACAGCCGTCATCCTACCACTATTTTCCGTGAAGACTTTTCAAATCATTTCAAATCTATATGATTGTGTGAAACTAGGTTGCTACTTATCAACCTAGGATCTTTGATCTAAATTACACGTTTCACAAAAACTCAGCAAGTCATTCTTCCATAATATCTTGAAATTGGGTAGCTTTCTTCACTATGGTCTGTGGCTTCTGCTTAAGGTTTAAATATTTATGTCTTTTTATTAGATTGAGAGGCTGGCCGGGGCTGAGCGCCCGTCGCTTCAGGCTACTGTAAGGGGAATGATGAAGCTGCTTCTCACCAAGACTTGGCACACCGTTTCTTCACAGGGATGGATTCCCGTCGTCAAAACACCAAAGAAAGCTTCAAGGATCATGAAGCGTACGAGAGAATAATGGGTAAGATATACATCAAGAATATTTAAAATGGTATGAAGATGGCAATGTTTACTGTGAAAATATTCAATGTTGCAATAGTGTTACTGTAAAAATCACAATAGATTCGTGCGCGGAAAGGAAAAGGCATCACACGCGTGGTACGGCTCCCTACTAGTTGGGATTGCATGTCTCTCTAATTTGCACTCCAAGATAAACGTATTTCTTAGTTTCCGCTTAAAGCACCGAACTACCTAAGACTGACCAGTCCACGACCACAATCAGCATCTCAGCTTGAACAAATTCCTTTATGGTGCAATCACCAGATCCGCTATACGGTATACTATTTCTATTGAACTACGCATGATATATCAGTTGCATGTCTACTCGGTCAGTTATTTTCTTTCATACCTTACAGCCGGCCTCAAGCAAACAAGATTCGTCAGTGCGAAAAGACCAGAGGTAAATAAAGCCATTATGAATGCCCTGAAGAATGCGTCCGACTGGGAGGGAGGCAGAGACCACCGCGTCCGACGATGACCAGCTATTCCGACAAGTACCGTAATGAATTCTCAACTTCGATGGAAGTTCATCAGAAAGACGAAGGTTCAGAAGGCACCGCCATCTCGGCAACTCCAAGACGTTCACCTAGGCTACACAATGCCACTCACAATTCTCCAATACACGACGTTTATTCCAAAGCAATCCGGCTACTTGAATTATAATAAGGACCTGGAAACGGTATCTAAGGGATGGTTGATTCCTGAAATTGATTTAAATTTTTACCTGGAAAAGACGAGTAATTTGGGCAGTGAATTGAAGTGAGTTGTAGGAGAAAATATTCGCTGGTAAAGTGTGCTATGGAAGAAAATATTCGCGGTGAAAAAAAAAATTCTTTAATTCATCCTGAAAACAACTATTCTACCAAAGAATATGCTGCATTCCTGGTCTCGATTTTTAGTTTTACGAGGTCTCTTGTTTACCGTTTCTAGTGTTAGATTGTTGAAGAAGCAAAGGAATTTGAAAATTGGTGTAGTGTCCTTGTGCCAGGAATGATCACGTATCACATTCAGGCTGCTTGTATTTTGATCATTGAAAAATATGCGAGAGCCAGTAAAATAGCGTACAAGTTATGCAATTTTGACTGCACGAGTGAACTGAATTTTTTGGCGAGTAAATTTTGCTGATCAGGAAGGAAGTATTCTGTGATCACCTTTATTTTTACTATTGGTTGTGAAGAATCAAAGGAATTTAAATATCGTCGTAGTGTTTTTGTGCCAGGAATGACCAAGTATTTAATTTGTGTTTCTTGAACTTGAGTTTATAAATGAATTAATTGTGTGATTGTGAGGGAAACAGCTTATAAGTTGCTGCGGTTTTGTTTCATGAAATGGACTTGATTTCTATAACTATTGTGGTGATCATTGCAGGAAATATTTTTTCTGTTTATTTCTATTATTATTTTACATGATGAAAGTTTGATGCAGAGGCGTTACTCGTCATGTGTTGGAGAGTGGATTATTATTTAGTTGCAGTCAATGCGAAGGTTTCCATTAGAAATTGATACCTCTACCTAGTCAATGGTTTATTGTAAATTGTGTGATACACTATCATGTAGTACTAGCCCTCATCACTGCCATCACTGCGTCTGTTACATCACTGTACTAGCCCTCATCACTGCGTCTGTTACATGACTGTACTAGCCCTCATCCCTGCGTCTGTTACATCACTGTACTAGCCCTCATCACTGCGTCTTTGACCAGAGTTGTCTTGTATGATCATTTATTTTTGGCGGTCGAAATAAAGGCATTAAAAAGAAGCATAGTATGCATTGAACGCCCCTCCCTAATTCCTCCCACTCGGGAGGAAGGGGGGGGCGATTTTTTTTATCCTTTTGGCAGACTCGGCCAGAGCTCTCGCGGAACCTGTAGCGAGCTCATTACGTACCGCCCAGTGGCCGCCAGAGTAGGGAGCAGACTCTCGTAGCTGTCTGACTAGAGAACGAAAAGGAGAACCAAAAGCGGACATAGAGACGCTGATTTACGCGCGCCCCGAGTCCTGGGCGGTACCTATTCCAGAGTCGGACCCGCATCTGAATTTTGTTTGGGAAATAGTCTATTCTTTGCGCTGTCAAGCGGCTGCATTGATAAATCGAACTTTTAACTAATACTGAAGCGGCACTTTTTAACGTTTTTAATTAAAATATAATGAATTTCTAAGGCGTTTTCTCTGCCTCGAAGTTCTTGTCATGGATGAAATTTAACCATGGCACTTATTGCTCTAGTAAACTCGAGGTTATGATCCCTCGAGTCTCGAATTGCCCGTAGGTGTGAAGTACCTGAGGTACTTCATTTGCACTTTTGATTAGTCACCCAGATGATGGCAGACCTCTTGAGCTGATTAGTCACCCAGATGATGGCGGACCTCTTAAGCTGATTAGTCACCCAGATGATGGCAGACCTCTTAAGTTGATTAGTCCCCCAGATAATGGCTGACCTCTTAAGCTGATTAGTCACCCAGATGATGAATGACCTCTTAAGCTGCTTAGTCACCCAGATGATGGCGGACCTCTTAAGTTGATTAGTCACCCAGATGGTGGCTGACCTCTTAAGCTGATTAGTTACCCAGATGATGGCTGACCTCTTGAGCTGATTAGTCACTTAGATGATGGCGGACCTCTTAAGCTGATTAGTCACCCAGATGATGGCAGACCTCTTAAGCTGATTAGTTACCCAGATGATGGCTGACCTCTTGAGCTGATTAGTCACTTAGATGATGGCGGACCTCTTAAGCTGATTAGTCACCCAGATGATGGCAGACCTCTTAAGCTGATTAGTTACCCAGATGATGGCTGACCTCTTGAGCTGATTAGTCACTTAGATGATGGCGGACCTCTTAAGCTGATTAGTCACCCAGATGATGGCAGACCTCTTAAGCTGATTAGTTACCCAGATGATGGCTGACCTCTTGAGCTGATTAGTCACTTAGATGATGGCGGACCTCTTAAGCTGATTAGTCACCCAGATGATGGCAGACCTCTTAAGCTGATTAGTTACCCAGATGATGGCTGACCTCTTGAGCTGATTAGTCACTTAGATGATGGCGGACCTCTTAAGCTGATTAGTCACCCAGATGATGGCAGACCTCTTAAGCTGATTAGTTACCCAGATGATGGCTGACCTCTTGAGCTGATTAGTCACTTAGATGATGGCGGACCTCTTAAGCTGATTAGTCACCCAGATGATGGCAGACCTCTTAAGCTGATTAGTTACCCAGATGATGGCTGACCTCTTGAGCTGATTAGTCACTTAGATGATGGCGGACCTCTTAAGCTGATTAGTCACCCAGATGATGGCAGACCTCTTAAGCTGATTAGTTACCCAGATGATGGCTGACCTCTTGAGCTGATTAGTCACTTAGATGATGGCGGACCTCTTAAGCTGATTAGTCACCCAGATGATGGCAGACCTCTTAAGCTGATTAGTTACCCAGATGATGGCTGACCTCTTGAGCTGATTAGTCACTTAGATGATGGCGGACCTCTTAAGCTGATTAGTCACCCAGATGATGGCAGACCTCTTAAGCTGATTAGTTACCCAGATGATGGCTGACCTCTTGAGCTGATTAGTCACTTAGATGATGGCGGACCTCTTAAGCTGATTAGTCACCCAGATGATGGCAGACCTCTTAAGCTGATTAGTTACCCAGATGATGGCTGACCTCTTGAGCTGANGGACACGTGAGGGACACGCGTGCAGCTGAGTGGACACGTGAGGGACACGCGTGCAGCTGAGTGGTCACGTGAGGGACACGCGTGCAGCTGAGTGGGCACGTGAGGGACACGCGTGCAGCTGAGTGGACACGTGAGGGACACGCGTGCGGTTTGTGCGGCTGCCAGGCTTCTTGCTTCCCAAGACTCATACGATAATAAATTACGCTATCATGAAACTTTGTCTCAAATACTCGTCACAAAATAACCCTCAATTATCGTAATGGCGATGGAATGCTAAAATGTAAAGAAATTTTTTACCACCATTAAATTTCCAATCAGCCAAATGATTTGCTTTTATAATCAGAGTGAAGCAGAACAGAGAAAACAACACCAATTTTGCATCAGGACTTCTGTGAGACAGCAAGAGTGGCCACGGTCAGGCTCTTTGCCAGTGGTCAACTTGGCATTCTCTTCTAAATGGTATTCTCTTATTTCCCATTTGATTGACGCACGAATACTGGTAGCAAATGTGGACCCTTCGCTTCGCTATCGCATGATGTACGTTTTATATAAAAGAATCTACTCCATTTCAGCCTCCTTTTCCATATGACGTATGCTTTACGTGAACATATATTTTCAACCTTCATTCGATATTTCGTATACATAAACAGATCTACTTAATTTCGTATATGACGTACTTTTTACGTAAACAGGGCATTCTCCCTTCTCCCGTAGGCATACATAAAGCCTTTCATTCTTCCTCTCGTTCGACGACGTTTTGCAAAAACAGATCTACTTCCTTCCCTTCTCCCTTTATAATGACGTACGTTTTATGTAAGCAGATATACACTCTTTCTTTCTCCCTTTCGTATGACGTATGCTCGTCATGTTTTTTTCGTATGACGGATGCTCATCATTATGTTTACCGATCTATACCTCATCATTTTCTCTTGCGTATGACGCACATTTCACGAGTTTGAACCCATTTTGGACCAAAATGTCAATCTATTGGATAAGTCACCGCATTATTTGAACTAGGCAAGCCCAGTTGTTGATCTATGTTGCAACTCTGGAATAAGCAGAACATAAATCAGTAAATTTATTATAAAAAATGCTCACTCAAACGATGTATATTTTTGATGGAGAATTCTCTGCAATCGAGGACAGAAGAACGTTCATTTCAACCTGCTAATAAAATGAGCGCGATTAAATATTAGAGCATATTTTGAAGTCATCTGAGTAAAAATCAGTTCGATTATATTTGCCAACATAATATGACATGATTATATATTACTTAACCCTAGAACGACCAGCGGGCCTCATAGGCCCGTTTCAAACAAATATTAGTCTATATTTTAGAAACTTGTAAACTTATTACGCTGAAACTACATGACTTTATTTGCGTAGTACATATGTAACCTCCATACAAAAATTGTTGAAAATTATGCAGTATTTTTTGATATTTTTAGTGTTACATCATATTTTACCAAGCGGGCCTCCGAGGCCCCTGAGTGATACAAGCGCTGCGGAGTCCCGTTGTGAATCTTGACCAGTTGCACGAAACATGTTTCAAGAGATTTTACGCATGATGAGATTCGATAATGCTTGTGAGAGGAGGCAAAACAGGTCACCAGATAAATTGCAACCAATACGAAAGATATTAGACTTGTGGAACAGCACATTGCAAAATGCCTTTATCCCGGGTGTAAACTTGACTGTTGATGAACAACTACTACCGTTTCGAGATAGATGTCCTTCCCGTCAATACATCCCATCAAAGCCTGGAAAGTACGGAATCAAATTCTGGGTAATTTGCGACTGTGAAACAAGTTATGCATTGAAATTGGACATTTACAAAGGCAAAGAGCCCAGCGAACAAAGAGCTTCAAATTTGGGAACTACTGTTGTACTAAAGCTAATCTGATTCCTACAAAAACAGTGGTAGAAATATCACCTGTGACAACTTTTTTACTAGTCTACAATTAGGACGAGAATTGCTGCGAAGAAAGCTGACACTAGTTGGAACAATAAGAAAAAATCGAACGGAATTGCCGACTGTTTTTACGGTCACTAAAGGTAGAAAGCTCTTCAGTAGCATGTAAGGCTTTCAAAGAGATTCAACAATTGTTTCCTATTGCCCAAAGAAAAACAAAGTTGTCACATTGCTAAGTACAATGCACAATGACAAAGGTATCGAGTCACCCGGTGAAACCAAACCAGAAATAATTCAGTACTATAATTCTACAAAAGGAGGAGTAGATACCATGGATCAGATGTTTCGGTACTATAGTACCAAACGAATAACTCGTAGATGGCCAATGGTTGTCTTCTTCAACATGATAGATATAAGCGCAGTGAACGCCATAATTATATGGATCAAACTTCAAACTTCTCTGCAATGCAAGAGAGGTGTCCCCCGTGCTCTGCTTATTACGTTAGCGAAATCACTTGCAGGAGTAACAGCTAATAACAACCTCCCTCTTCAGAAACCTGTTTCATCCAATTCGAGTGTTGCCTCAGAAAATACGAACAAGAGAAAGAGATGTTACTTGTGCCCTTCGAAAGGGGACAGGAAATCTAAGATATACTGCGAAGACTGTCAACAGAGCATTTGTGGTGAACACAACGTCGATATATGTCTTCAGTGCAAAAAATAAGATAATAATATAATGCTTTCATGTTCTTTTCAAATAGAATGGGTTAATATTTTCATCTATCTTTATTTTGCGTGCATTTCATCAGAATATTGCTAGCAATAGAGAATGCTTTATTGTATGTGTTAGTATGTAACCCAAAGAAAACGGATACACCATGCTGCAAATCTTAGAACAAAGGAATATTTTCAATAAAAGGAAGATATTTAATTTTTTAATTATCCTAAATGCTTGAAAACATATATTCTCAGTATTTAACACTTAAAAGACCCTTTATATAGAAAATATTAGAGATATAACAGAGCCCTTGCAAAAAATAGGGATCGGGCCTACACGACCCGGTTGGTCTACAACGCTATATATTTTTGATGGTCTTTCTAGGGTTAATGAGATTAACACAAATTTGGAAATACTTGTAACAGCAGCGAGTTGTTCACTTTAACCTGTCATCTCCTGTTAAGAAGGAGTCTGTTTCAAGCTGTGCACCTGCTTAGGTGTCTCAGCAACATGTGGGTCATTAAACAAGCATATTGTTGCCGGTGTTGGCGTACGGTGAAGGAAACTTCATAGCAAAAGATAAAACCACGATATCAGAAACAGAGGATATATTAATCGCAGTCTTGATAAAAAACGCATTAATATAAATAAATGCTATGTTTTTAATGAACTTCGATCAGTAAATATTTATCAGCGAGTATATCATGATTGCCATCCAGTTATATATGTAAATGTAACAATTTGCGAAGGCACTCGAGGAGGCACATGACAAATCTCAGAGGTGATGTATGATCCATTCCAGGAAGTCAACCGAAATTTGACTATAAAAATTGTACCACTTAAATGCAAATCTTTTCTGTTATGACTTGATATGATCTTGCTACTATTACTGTAAACAGACTTCATGGATTTCAATTATTCATGCAATGCAGGATTTTGACTATAATTAACTAAATATGAATAATCTCGGAGACTGAAGAGAATGATTCTATCCAATACATTATTGTTATCACGTAAACATTAGACAAGAATAATAAATTACACAAGAACATTAATTAAGGAAAATCATTACACAAGAAAATTAATCATGAATAATCAGCATGAAATCGAAACATGCGCAAACATTTGCACAGCGAAATTCACCCCACACACAAATTATATTATATTCCATAGATCGAAACAAATTACTTAAGCGGTAGCGTTAGAATATGCAATACTATGACGAACCGATATACGATATTCTAATAACCCGCCGTAAACCGCATCACCTCAAACTTTTGAATTAACATCGTTACCGCGACCAGGCGCTGAGAGTCAAAAGCTTCCCTGAAAATTAGGCACAGCTTTACGCTAAACGGGAATTCAAACGCAATTGACTGCAGCTAAATTTAAAATACTTAAAACTAACTTATGCTAAAAAACATTGAACGCTTAAGGGAGTGATGCGGATTGCTGAAACTGAGAACTGGAAGGAGCTCTTGATCCTATAACTTGAAATTGTGAATGAGTAAACCTCGCTAAACAAAACCAACGCTTTTCTCACATATAACTAAGTAATAAACAATATATGACCCTAGCTAGCACTATTACGCGCCACGACTAAGCTTAGCGTCGGAATCAAAACCCTGAACGAAGGATCCAGTACCCCGGTCGCGGGTTCAAGCAGCTCATATACTGGCGGTAACTAAGCAATGTTGCCCATGTCAGATGGAGCTGATCAAGATTAATCTTTCTGTCTAAAAATAAGTAGGAAATGTACAATCTACAACTGGTCATAAGTGTATCAAATTCACCATAGAGCTTGAATCAAACACTAGTTTGTCATTCCTTGATTTCAAAGTTATCTCAAAGTTATCAAATCTAATGGCCGTTTCCAAACTCCTGTTTTTAGAAATCGACATTTACGGGCTTAAGCATAAGATTTTTTAGCTTTTGCTCATTTCGTTTCAAATTAAATAATATCCAAACATCAATAAACCGCGGCTTTCACATTTGCTCTACTTTCTAGCTATGCACACTGAATTTTAGTTTTTGTGCAGATTTTTTTTACAAAATGGCTTTTGATCGCACTTGGCGTTTATCCAAATTAAAAAAATTGTGCCCAAGCAATTTACTGAAGTTGTTCCCAAGTGTCACAATGGGACCGTTGTTTACTGTTCTTTTCCCTATTTTGGCCCCCCATCTGAGACTATGCCAGAGGATTAAAAAGTTTTATTCGCTAAATTCCTTCCAAGCGCAAATCTTCATGAGTTGCTAGCTAACAATTTTATAATCGGCTCTTTTTTCAGATATAAGATACTCTCCCTGTTCTCATGCGATCGTCCCTAGTTTACAGATATAGTTGTGAGCCGTGCGCATCAGCGTACGTCGGTATGACGTCATGCAATTTCTATACTAGGCTTGCACAGCATAGAGGTTGGAGTTATAGAACGGGGAACCTACTTGCACATCCACCTCATTCTGCTGTACGTGTTTATGCCGAGCAGTGCAACACCACTGTATCTGATAGAGATTTCAAAGTGCTAGCTTCCACATCCGGTGTTACTGATCTGAGAATTTTAGAGTACCTGTACATATTCAAACGGAAGCCTAGTCTGAATGCTGCTTTTAGCTCCTTTCCCTTTGAAATAGTAAATAGGTAGGCCCGTTTGCTAGTATTCATTTCATGTCGTCATTTGCTTGTTTCCGTTTTAATTCATATCGGTGAAATTTACTTTACTAATTGATTGTATTTGTATTTGTGTTCTAGGCCTTATAAACTGACGATAGAGCTGGACTCCAAACGTTTTCTCTTTAGAGCATTTTCTCATTTATTAAAAAAGGCGCTATTGTGCTCGTCATTTCTGTCCGTCCGTCTGTCCGTGACTTCACATTTTCGTTACGAGAAAATGAGCGCTCTGTCACTCACTACAGTCAGTACTGAGTAATATTTTTTAATAAATGGTGAATTTTTGCGTTATTGTCTTTGCTATTAAATTCCTGGTTAACTTTCGATTTAAGCCAACAAGTGATTTTAATACTTACACCATAACTCGCAACATTATGGCAACTGCGCCCTCATTCACGAAAATATGCATTGCAAATCTGGTAACAACAAACAAAAGGATGAGGAATTAGACTGCGAATTGCCTATAATTCTTCTGTGCTTCTTTCGTTAAGATGCTGGTACACGGAGTACTTATTAACCGATAGTATTAGCTGCAAGCACTTTCCATTGGAATATCCGCTTAATTTTTTCTTCTAATGAAAGTGACTGGGGGCATGGGCCGGTGAGCGACCGACCCAATTGCGGCTGTAGCAGGTGTGACGTGCCCATTTGTGCCGCTCCGTAGGTTTACGAAATAAAATCGATGATGCTTTAAGTTTTTTCTCCTTCCTATCAAGTCCATCGTCGCCACCCACACTATACGTTGATCTATGAAATTTTTGATCTCCTCTGCTTGAGTTGCATCAATTTCACGAATTGTTTCATCAAAAGCCTCTTTAAACTCGCCATTACTGTCACGCTCCAAATAGTTCCATGAAGCGTAAAGTTCACTCAATTGATTTTAATGACACACTGGTGCTTGCGGATGAGAAAATACTGTGTAGCTAATTTTTCCCTCGCGTATAAGCTTGCAGCTGCCATAACTAGAAGGGAAAAGTAATTTCCGATAATACTATCGGCTAAAACTTTCCCCCTTCAAAGGCACCTTAAGGCAGGTCATCTGGAACAAGGTATTTAGTTGCTACTTGTGTTAGAAGAAGTTCAATATTTTTCTTTATTTCTTCCACGTTCTTCTCCAACTTCGTTTGTTGAAGTCTCATTCCTTCCACGTTCTTCTCCAACTTCGTCTGCCTAAGACTTATTTCTTCCTCGTCCTTCTCCAACTTCGTCTGCAGAAGACCCGCTGTTGACGTTTTACTGTGTTGCTCTTGTAGCATCACGGAACTGACATCTCGGAAGAATGACCGCCAGGTCTTTTTCCTATTTTTATTCACATAAAGTGAACAAGCATGCTGTTTACGCAATCTCGGCACGCACTCATCGATGAGCAAGTGGATGTGGAGAAGCGAGACTGCTTGGTTTACTTGGTCCTCTTTCCTGAGTTCATCGATCTTCGCTGTAAAACCTCCGAAGACACTTTTCAGTACGAGTCCCATAATACAGACGATGAAAACAACCAATAATATGTTTGACAGGAATGGGTACGAGACAGAATAGTTATCATTAACAAAAGTGTCATCGTAACTAAAATCGCCCAGCATCAACGTGATGGTCTTCACTAAAGAGTAAGGCATGTAACTGAAAGACGTGTTATCCATTAACAGAAAATGGAAAGATAATGCAAACGCCAGCAAAAATAGGGAAAGAGGCAGAAGAGCCCATGTGAAGTGAAATAGTAGCCTTGTGTTAATTGAAAAGAATCCGGAGAACCGAGGAATCTTGTTCAGAGTTGCCACAACGTGAACCCACACTAGCAGCACTGCCAGCACTTCCAGCTGCCACACCAAGACCTGGAAAGGTCAGGTACAATGTTGATCAAGGGAAAAGATGAAGATGAATTCAAAAGTACAGGGACTAACATATTAAATTTGAGTCAAATCTTACTTTCATGTATAACAAGTCTCACTTGAAATATGTGTCGTTCTTAGATCTGTAAATTTTTGTAATCGAGTAATTTAATTGGAGGTCCTTGGACCAATATAACATCAACTATACAGTCACTGTGTACCACCAACCAAGAGTACATACTATCCTTTAATAAGAAATAAAAGTTGAATTTAATAAGGCGCTAATAATTAATTGGTTGTACAGTAAAGATAGAGTCACCATTTGTCCAGTTTTGAATTTAAGTTAATTTTTACTACACATTAACTACTTGGAAAAAAGTACTGTTTTGATTTATCTGTTGACCGCTTGGATCACCTGGGTAACGTGTGACAACTGTTAAGAGTTTTTAGAAATTTTCTCGTGCTTGGCATAGAACATATTTTGGCGAAAGAAAACTAATTATAAATTGTTCATGCGCCGTGCCGCATTTTGGGAACCACTAGCTGATCCCCCTCTTATTTTGGGAACCACCCCAGTCAAAATTAGAAGCAATGTAGGAGCTGTGCCGGCGCTGAACCAAGAGCATGATAGAAGCATGTGGGAAGCAGGAATCCAGCAAGGATGTCCGCTTATTACGGGGCTCAAAACGTTCTGCGTAAGGCCTTATTTGGGCGCTGGCGCTCGGCTGCAACGAATCAGTCTTGCCGGGCTCCGGCTCACTTACAGCCGACACGCCCTATACGCTGCCCTGTACCTGCTCTCTTCAGGCTTACTTAATTTTCTTTCGGGGATAACTAAAGAATTTTGTCCACACAATTAAACGTTTATTATAATTTTTACACATTTACGAACATTATTCTATATTCTTGTACAACTACTTCTGACAAAAATTCAGCAACATGTTAAGACACTGAATATACACACATCAATAATGCAAAGGGCAGAGCACAGCGTAAAAATAGGATAAAAATAATTAATGCAGTAGTCCTCAATCATAATTAAGTCATATAAACGAGATTAAATGATCATATCTCCTTCCTTAACCAAAAAATTCTCAAACCCCTATTAACCGATGTAGCAAAAATTATATCATTATATTTCGATGCAAGAACTAACATCAACGTAAGTTCAGCGTTACCTCAACCGTCCTACTTGTTATGGTAATACGTTTAAACAGCTTCAAATTAATTTCTGAATCTAGATATGAAAATTCTATGGCCGATTTGCATTTGGTATTTATATAAACACATTAATTGCAAATCGAGAAATCGTCATAAAAAAAGATCAATAAATCAAGGCGTTAATTTAGCAAAACACATTAGATAAAATATATAAAAAAAAATTTGATGGTCAAATTCACACTCGATTATTAATCTAATACCAAAGAATACAGCATAAGCCATCACGTTCACTAGACACGACATTCAACAAACGAGAAGAAATGATGTAGATCACTTGATATCGACATTGGAAAATTTTATAGAAGTACGAAATACCAGCATTAACAACAATTAGGTGCTACTTTTCAGCTTTAAAATCTTTCGTCATCTTGCACCACATGCCAGCCATTCGTAATTGAATACCATGCAATTTATCAAGAAATAATAATTCGATATCTGCAGTCACCGTATGCCAACTAGGCTCGGTAGATTTCACAATAAACCAACATTTTCATACATGTTCTTCACCGGTTATCACGCACGCACAGAGGTGCCTCTGCATGGTGGAAGACGTAGGAGAGGAGATCCAGTCCAAGTACTATGTCGGAGAAGGATGGGAGTGATGTGAGGGACGCCGCAGTCGGTCCAGCGTTAGATTAAAGGTCCAGTGGGGTGCCATGGGCAGCTGAAGAGGTGATGTGTGGTATGATCCGTTGCGCTGCACTCAGGGCTGAGAGGGCTATTTACTGCTCGAATGCGAGCAAGGTACAAGTTAAGTCGCGGTAAGTAGCCAGAGCGGAGCTGGGAGAGCGCTTCTGGCTGCTCTGGGGAGGAAATGCTCGCTGGAAGAGATAGAGGGGGGCAGGGATCAGCCACACCTTGCTAGGAGCTGCTGAGGACAGGTAGGAGGAGACATCTGAGCTGTGCAGGGTGCTGAGGGCAACGGAGTAGGAGTCAGGGGGGAGGGACCCCTTCTCAAGCAAGTAAGACACCGAAGGGAGGAAGCAGGTCGGAAGCGTGAAGCTTCATGGAGCGGGGCTCCGATGTCTGGGTGATGATAGGATAGCAAGGATGGTGCGGTCGTAGGGCGCTGGCAAGGTTGTCAAGCAGAGGAGAGAGAGGTGTTCGGCCAGGGTAAGACCTCAGCTTCGCTGTGCAGGTGGGGAGCTGGGGCCATTTGAAGAAATCCATGTGGCTATGCGGAGAGCAGAATTCTGGATAGTTGGTAACTTAGCGATTGCCGAAGGAGAGGCGTTAGAACCACACTGATGCAGCGTAGGTGATGAGGGACTTATTGAAGGCCTTGAAAGTCCCAAGGAGGGTTTTCTTCTGCTTTCCCCAGCTGGTTCCGGCAAGGGATTTAAGGATGTTGAGTGCCAATATGCGGCTGCTCCCTGTCTCGATTTTTAACAAGGGACAGTTTCCTGAGATTCCTGCTGCAATGCTGCTGCTAAACTGTTCTTCTGCCGTGAACGGCGCAGAATGCGTCTCCGAAATTTAACTGGGACTAGCTGATCATCTTAAATTACCCTCTCATGTAGCAGAGAAATCAATTGAAAAACAACAATCTTACGTACAAATACTGACCTTATCGCCTTATGAAAACGCATTTCGTTTAGCGCTTATGACTGCAGTGTGAACAAAATTTGTAAGCTATAGATTCGATTCCTACCTTGTCCTTATATTACTACATTACCCTAATTAAGTTTATGGTAGATCAACATCGCTTATGTAGGATCTGAGGAGTAGGTATTTATTCTGATTGCCATATTTGTTGGATGTACAATATTAGGCATGAGTAATTGTAATTAATTCGGTCATGCCCAATTAATTTATTTGTAACTCGTAATTTGGTCGGTTAACTATATGCTGCCGTTAATCCTTTATTTTCGATTACAAAACTGATTGGTCATTGAAAATTTCTGTAAAACTGTCGACGATTATAAGAATAAAGTGATATAATTTTGTATAATGAATTACCATTGCCATGCTGTTCCATGTACAAATGTACATTAAAACGAACCTGTCGGCAGCCCAGGACGAAGTCGCAAGCATTCAGCGCCAGCAGGAGCAGCCCCAGCGCCACGATACGCAAATATCGGCTGATTTGGTGAACGTCAACTGGCGCATTTGTTGTCTGTAATAATTATATTCGTTGTAATTATATGAACCTTTAGCAAAATGACTCAACGGTAAAAGTTCCTGTCTTTGCACTGATACAAGATAATTGAGGTGATTTTGCGATAATTGCGTAGGCATGTTATAAACCTATGAGGTGCCATCAAAGGATCCCTTTTCTTAGCTGCCAGTACTAGTAGCTCGCCTAGTGCCCTATCAACCGTTCCGACCCCTTGCCAATGCAAGCACGAGTAGGTCGCCTAGTGCCCTATCAACCGTTCCGACGTCTTGCCAATGCAAGCACGAGTAGGTCGCCTAGTGCCCTATCAACCGTTCCGACGTCTTGCCAATGCCTGTACGAGTAGGTCGCCTTGAGCCCTATCAACAGAGCCGACCCCTTGCCAATGCAAGCAGAAGTAGGTCGCCTAGTGCCCTACATCTGATAAATATTACCGCTGCCGCTCTGACTCACGCAACTTCCTTCTACAAATAAATTATCCCGCAGGAACAATATCTACGCAGTTATCACCCTATGAGCTACGCTCATTGTTGCCTTTTCAAATCACTTGTACCAGCGTAACGGGATATATAACCATATCAGTCTGTCTTGCAGAGCAGTTTGTGACCAATCAAAAAATTTGTCACTGATATTTGTACCCAATAATTTTGTCGGAGCATTCTATACAATTTTCTCTACAAAAGGCGAATTTAATCATTAGGCAGCTTTCTTCAAATAATTTTTTATAAATTTTTATTAATTTTAAGTTGTTGATTTCCTTAATCCTGGATAATTTTTTTCGCCTGAATTTTTTTCACGCGCGAGAACGTTTTGTGTTCAATCGGAGCAACTGCTCGTTTCAATCACCTCTTTGTGCATTAACAATCATGTCCATTTTTACTCAATTGTATGTACTTTTCTTACTATTGACATGAGTAATTACTTTAAAATTGTTGTGAAAGCATGTAAGACACGAATTAAAGTAATGAATATTTGTAACAGCTGCCTAAATGTCGTTTTAGTCCTAATTTCTTCTGTATTGAAAAAGCAAAGGCAATGCATGATTGTTATCAAACCAGCGATTACGAATCATTTAATTCCAGAGTGATTTCCATTTAAAATCAAAATGTTAGAGGACGATAAGTAATTCCAACGATCGATGTACACAAAGATACTCACTCTGCCAAGGTAATAGTACTCGAGAAGAGCATGGAATATGAGGAGGGCCAGAGTCAAAGCTTCGAAAGTGATAATGAGCGGCGCGTGTTGCTGCAGGTGATGGACGGCACAGACGGAACGGTTCCAGGCGGCAGACGACACCTCCATCTCGCCTGCTGAGTCCCAGCCGCCTGTAATATAATAGAAAAGAAGTGTCGGCACTGAAGAAATAGGCCCATGACCTGTTACCGATTCTTGAATTTTTCGTGACTTGATTCACAAGGGATCCGGCCTTTGGAACCCGATCTTTCCATAACTGACGATTGATTGAGATAGCTGCTGGACTTATTGCCTGGTCCGTAATTTGCTGGGCATTTTAAGACTGAACATATGCTCCTGCATAGCTTCGTCTAGCCTGTTCTTGGGGGCGTTCATGGCCATATTCTGTTCTTCTCTTAATGGCCATATTCCGTCAATCCCCTTTTTTTTAACTAAATTTTTGTAGAAGTTTTAATTGAGCCGAGGTGCTTCTTTGTTTGTTTAAAGTTTAAACTAACGAGGTATGTATGATGCGAATAAGAGGTCTATGGAGTTATTCAATTTTTAACGAAACACTATTTTGTAAAAAGTGTCAAAATGGGCCGATTTCCCCCCCCCCCTGGGGCAATGGGCCCATGGGCTTGGGGCAAGGCGCCCACTCCTGTTTCCTTTACCACGATTGCATATTTTTTGTTTTAAATGTGATAAAACAACACTTTACAGTTTAAAATAAGAAAAATGACATAGAAAATATTACAGTCACTAATTTATTAACAACATAAAAAATCATATCATTAACATGAACAAAATATATTCTTGGCTTAAAAACTATCACTGAAGTGAAAAAATATTTCCTTGACATAAAAATATTTATCATTGACTTGAAAAATATATCCTTGCAATAAAAATTCATCCTTGACATAAAAATGTATCATTGACTAGAAAGAATATAGCTTCTTGACCAGAAAAAGAATTCGTTCTAGTTTCGTCCATAATCCAGATATTATGTGGAGGGAATTCGTACTTACTCTTGATTTCAGCCAACACCATAAAAGCTCATCATTTTTTGGCGCAATGGTGTTGGCTGAAATCAACTTTTGACAAGGCAAGAGTCAACAACACGTGCCAAACTTGTTGGTTGAGGAATGCAAATACTCATATTGTGCCGCTCCACAAAATGTTTCGGCCAATCCTTGCCAGCCATTTTTTTATTTGTTAAATAGACGATTTTCTCTTGTCGCTTAGCAACCCTGATTGCAATTCTCCTCATATCTGTACATGTCAGTCCAAACATTCACTTTTGCATATTTTTAATGCGCGTAGCTGTTGCTAATTCCGCTTCTTCAAGGAAGTAGTTATCGCTTCTTCCTAAACAAAGAACTTCATGCAGGTTGCTTCATCTAGCCGTAGTTGTGCCGACACAACGTTTACTGGTCAATATTAACTCATGGTAATTTGTCATTCTTAATTTTCTCCAAGACATTCTAAAGTTCATTTTGAGAATAGTATGCGATATTGGTCTTCCTTTTACAGTTGCATGTAACGTTGTAAGTGTGGAAGAGAGATAAGGGGTCATATGTACGCATAATTAGAAAATAGAACCTGCTGCTTTGAAGCAGCAAATCAAAAAAATTATACTATGTATGCAAAAATCTTACATACATACATATAAAATGTAGTTTGTAATTCAAAAAGCTGGTTATAGTTTTTTAGAGCTCATTGAGACAAATCTAATGATGCATAACACAAGACTTCACCGAGGGGTATTGAGCCCACCATGGGCGCTTGCCCCGTGGCACGCATGGGCCTGTTGCCCCACTAGGCATCATTTCCATTTATATCGTGTCAACATTTTATTTTTAAAGCTAATAGTCTAAACTTGAACTCAAATTTATCCCTATAAATAATATTTTCAAAATATAATTCACAGTATACAAGAGCTTTATATGGAGTAATCGAAAACAGTTTTATTTAGCATAAAAAAACTTTTATTTGGTCTAAAACAGTTATTTTCAAGTAACTTACCAACGCAAACGTTTAGCAAAACGTGGAGCCACACACTTCTTCCCAGTGAAACTGTCGACCGGCGGTAGAGAACACGGAAGGGGGGGGTTGAGAGAGGGAGGAGGGGTTAGGGTTGGAAAAAGTGGCGGGAGAATGAATTTCGTCCGTCATCTAGCTCATTCGCATATTTCGATATTTCTGGTGCCAGTTATGATCAGATCAATTTCTGGTGCCAGTTATGATATTTATTTCACGTCACTAATTTAATACTTTGAATTACGTAAAATTTTTATATGCTCTTCCAGTTTTAACAGGCAAACAGAAACGTTTACGGTCATTCAGGCTTCGCTAAATCGAGATATCAATCAGTTTATCATGAGAAAGTTTTCTAACTTGGATTTACAAAAAACGCGTTAATATCAGTAGATGTTATAGCAAAGAAAATAGCAAGAAAATTCACCATATTTTCAATGAAAATGTGTAAACCAGCACCATCATCAGTTCATAAAATTGATCGAAATTCCTTGCGTTTCGGTGCTGGTCTCCGAAACGTTTTCATTGAACATAGGGTGACTTCATTTGCGCTTTCTTTACGTTAAAACTCTTGGTGAACTTGCGATTTCAGCAGACTAATGATTTGAGTACGTTGTTCATTTTCCCATCAAACTATCGAATGACATGAAGCTAATGCAATAAGATTAATTACTAAACAAATTTAGCTCTAATATTCACTAACATCTAACTGACGGGATCATACGAATGGCTACTTTGTTCATTTATAGAAATTGGTGTATTAGGAATAATATCTATAGCTATTCCTCGATTTGCTAGATGATGGCGAATCATTTGTTCCGTATTATAGTTAAGTAGTTCATAGAGCCTTGCATGGTAAGGTGTCCGCGCGGTCAAGCTGGTACAGGCGTGGACTCCGACGAGGAGGATCTGCGTTCGATTCTCGGAGCTGCCGTCGACGTTTGCAGGTAGTTCATATCGGTATGTAATTTGATGTGTATATTTCCTCGATAATTGAATTTGTTAGGTTCTTAATCCCGTTGCTAAATTCAATACGATGTGAATGTGAAAAACCAATGTCAATACAACCTGTTCTTGCAAGAGAGAAGTCTGGATGATCACAGATAGAGAAGGAAAAGTTATAAGAAATTTTTTCCATATTAATGTTGTAGCGACTAGAGAGATCAAGTATAGGTTAGGGAAGTTGAAGTTAGAGGAACAAAAGGAGAGACTAGAAAGAAGAATTTGATGGCATTGAATACTTTGGTGACGTCCTCGTCTTAATGATATAGCTTTCTGCTAACACCATTGAATTGCGCATGTGAAGGGCCCTGATTTAATACTTAATGCATGTTAAATTCACCTCTTGGTCCGGCCCAACACTTAATAGCTTTCGACGCATTTATTGATTTGCCTCAACGCAGGCCGCAAGGCTCTTATCAGTTACGCGAACCACTTAGTCATTTCACCTGCCACGGTGTGAATATTCGGTTCACTGTATTAACATTATATATTCTAAGTGCGTCTACCGGCTCTTACTAACTTCTATCTTCTTGAGGTTGGGCCGACCTTTACTTATTAACCTAACATATTAACTTTAACGTCACTAATAGGCCATTAAGCCACTTCTGAATACCGCCTACGGCAATATTTTAGAAGGTGTGTATTAGCGCCAATTATCATTGAGATACCTTAAAATCTGCGCATATTGATCATACTTTCTATTGTCTCTTGATATAGATTCTAATAGCCTTGGTTCTATCACTTTCAGTATAATTAAGTTCCTGTCTTACCGTGGATGCAACAGCTGCCTACCCGTCTAGTTGTGACTGGCTCCTCGTCCTATTTAGATATTATCCAGTGCCTGTTGTCAGTTAGGTTTCGAGGTACGATTTGGGGATATTGCCATGCTCAATTATTGCCGTTCAAATTGGAGATATTGAATATAATTGTTCACTTACGAATAATCGGCTCAATGCTTCTTTGCAATTAAACTGGTCATTCCTCATTTCAGCACTAAATGTGGACTCCGCCTCCGAGATTCTCTTGTGCCCTCGGAGATCTGCATTGGACCCTATAAAAGTTATTAGATCAGTTATATTTGCGTTATTTCCTAACAAAGTTTTTTAAATCGTGGTTGACAAAACGGTAAGGTGTAACTGCCGCGTACACTGCCAGAGCGGGCGTTGGGCAGGTTTGAGCAGGCGGTGCTCAGTGCGTGTTGGCAGGACAGAGCACACCTAGGCAGGTACTCGGAGGTTAATTAGCGCTGCTACGCGGCTGGCGATATCGTCTCTAATGCGGACATTTCTGCTCTATCGCGTCCCTACGTCGGCTCTACGGCCGGCGACGGCCTGCTCTATTCCCTGCCCTACATTTTAACTGGGCTTTGCCCTATGCTACCCTACATAGAACACGTTCGCGAATTAAAGAGACTTTACAAACCTCCATTGCGTGGTATTGATACGCAGTGAATTCATCGAAGCTGAACTTGAATGATAAAACTGGAGGCATTATAGGGGAGGAAAATGTGAAATGAGTTAGTTAAAACTAAAAAGAAACGAGAGTACTATAGAATAGGAAATTGCGCTTACAGAACGATCAGCTACATATAGTTTTTTCGACTGTCATTTTAGAACAAACATAATGCACGAAAAAGTTTAATTGTAATTTATATTGCAATTATGCTAAATAAATATTGCATTTTTTTCAAAATTTGTTACGTCCTGTGCACATATTTATTTCCATTCATCTCTCCATTATACTCACAAGTAGTTAGGTAATGTAATGAACCATTATTCTCCAGACATTTGGTGGGTGTACACGGGGCAACTTGCAGCAGCTAGTATTAACGGGTAATATTTTCCGCCACTAGTTTCACCGATAAATAACCTGCTTCACGAGGCAAGTACTGATTGTCAATTATTATTTTTTTGTTGCCTTACGTGAGTGTCCGTGGAGACTGCAAAAAAACTAGTTGAGTCACAGTATCAGTCTCTTGTAAAGTTGTAGTATATCATTTGGCATACCATCCACTCTAATATAACTATTCGTTTTTGAAGAACGTCAATTAATCACTGATCGATGGATTACAATACGCTCGAATATTCCTTTTCGATTTTCATGATATTCTGTTGCATGCTGAATTCTTTTGCCGCCAAAATTATGGCTAAAATAAATAAGCCAATCTAGAAAAGAAAGCATTTGCAATCAATTCATCCAGTATTATCCAGAAACAGTTATGAACAACCGTCAATGAGGGATGAAAAAGTATGACGAGGCGAAAACAAGATTTGCATGATTAGGTGAGATATACAAATTTACTAGATGTTAGGTACAAGCAAATCATTACTCTGTGACATAAACCTTGGCTGTCTTCGTTCTTTATAGCCAATCAAGCCGCCTATAGTTAATACCGTGCATGACTAGCTATGTGTTCCCACCGGTGCCTACAAACTAACAAGTCTATAATTAATTATTCGACGTTGCTCGTTACTCACCCCTGAAGCAGCGAGTTCCTCTTTACACGAAGTAGCCCCAAAAAATTAGTAGCGGTTCCTACTCGCCAGATGTATATAGCACACAACTTGCCCTACGTACAGGCAGGCTTCTAGTATTTCCTATTATTCTGGTGAGTAATTGTCGGAAAGGTTACGAACTTTCGTGTATATGTCTTCATTTTTATAGGTCCATCCCTTTCTGTAAACCATTGAGAACGATTTAATCTTCACCCTTTATTAAATTTACGTCATTATTGTCAATTCTAATAATTTTATTCAAAGCAGTCATTTAGCGGCCGGGCTGGTTGCGACTTTTCTCACTGCTTCCGAGGCTTTCCCTGCAGCAAAGCAGAAATCTTGCATCTCTGGCCGGCAACAGACAGATTCACTTCAACCTTCACACATTCAACTCGTNATTCTAGTTCTAAAGTGATAACTGATTCTAGTTCTAAAGTGATAACTGATTCTAGTTCTAAAGTGATAACTGATTCTAGTTCTAAAGTGATAACTGATTCTAGTTCTAAAGTGATAACTGATTCTAGTTCTAAAGTGATAACTGATTCTAGTTCTAAAGTGATAACTGATTCTAGTTCTAAAGTGATAACTGATTCTAGTTCTAAAGTGATAACTGATTCTAGTTCTAAAGTGATAACTGATTCTAGTTCTAAAGTGATAACTGATTCTAGTTCTAAAGTGATAACTGATTCTAGTTCTAAAGTGATAACTGATTCTAGTTCTAAAGTGATAACTGATTCTAGTTCTAAAGTGATAACTGATTCTAGTTCTAAAGTGATAACTGATTCTAGTTCTAAAGTGATAACTGATTCTAGTTCTAAAGTGATAACTGATTCTAGTTCTAAAGTGATAACTGATTCTAGTTCTAAAGTGATAACTGATTCTAGTTCTAAAGTGATAACTGATTCTAGTTCTAAAGTGATAACTGATTCTAGTTCTAAAGTGATAACTGATTCTAGTTCTAAAGTGATAACTGATTCTAGTTCTAAAGTGATAACTGATTCTAGTTCTAAAGTGATAACTGATTCTAGTTCTAAAGTGATAACTGATTCTAGTTCTAAAGTGATAACTTGATTTTGCTTCGAATTCTAAACTATAAGTGATTCTAATTCTAAAACGATTAACCCTTGATCTCATAGGATGAATGTCGTGACGAGATGTTCATGATAACTGAGGGGGGCACAACTTTCCTCTACCTCTCCAGTGGACGGGCGACTACGGCTTTAGTTTCTTTTTGAATAAATTCAAATTTGAATCTAGAGTATGTCTTCTACCTGTCCTCGCCATGAACTTATTTTCGTCAGTAATGACATACCATTTCCCAGTCATTGTGATAATGACCCTCTTAGGTCCTAGTTAAACTACTGCCACTCGTTGGTCATTTAATAGTTCTGCAGACACTCACCGATGCCCCAGGAGCTGCAGTTGGTGTCGTTGTCAGCAATGAGCATCACGGCTCTAGCAGCAGCCAACGCGTCGCCGTAAGGTGAGCGCGTGTCGTCGTAAGCATGCGTCACCTGCAGGCGCGTCGCGCCGCTGAAGGTGCGCTGCAGACGTTGTGACTCCCTGCCGTGTGCAGGTAGGAATAGCATTGCAATTAAGTAATCATTGTTGCGTAAATAGGATAGATAAGTAAGAGAAGGAATGCCACTTAAAAGGTAAACCAGGGTTGTGCCAGAAGTTGCATTGTAATGGTATAGTTGGAAGTGAACTCGTCAGACGCTCAAGTGAATTTCATAATTCTTCCTGTTTCCAATAATGGCTGAAAAAGAAGTATCAGGCTCTAACCGGATACTTCAAACAAAGTAAATTGGGTTGTTCACTTATAAAGCACTTTTTAATTACGTACCAAGTGAAAAATAAGAGGCAGGTCGCGATGATGGCAGTTACAACGTCAAGTGCCAGGTAGCCATACAGGATCCATTGAGCGTAGCGAAACTTGTTCAGCAGCCACGAGCTGAACGAAGCAAACAAAAATATATAACTCAGTACTCACTGCAGTGAGTGACAGAGAGCGCATTTTCTCGTCGACGAAAACGTGAAGGCACGGACGGACTGAGAGACGGACGGACGGACATGACGAGCACAACAGCGCCTTTTTTCCATAAATGAGAAAATGCACTAAAAATGAACTGGTCAGGTTTTGTCTTACGAAGATTCTTGTGATGAAGTAAATGTAGAAAAAATGTTAAGGTGTGATCTATCACGAACAGCTTATCGACCGCATTTCACAACAAAAGATTTATTCAATTTTATATTTCCAACAGTGAATGAACCAAATTCGTACATAATTAATTGATTAGTATTTATTACATTTTTAACTCGAATGGGCAAATCCAGCATTCGCAATCAAATTATAGAATTGAAAATCTACGTTGGATGCTTCAGTGAAAATGACAAACAAAATACGGCAAGTTCATTTTATTTAAGCGTTTATTCGCATATAGTGGTAGATTAGGCTTTGTAAGCCAAGATCATTGCGTTTATTAAGTTAATATGAATGTCCATTATTCTAAGTTGACCGAGTCATCCTCCTCCAAGCCCTCGATGAAAGCGGGAAGCGTTGAGGAACGATGATGACTAACCAACATACATGGTTAGTCTGTGGCACAGCACTCGGCCGAAATCTTCCCTCAATCTTTCTTCATTCTTCCTTCCTTTAACAGCCTTCAGGAGAGGATGATCTTTGGACCAGCGCATATTGCTGAATTCTTCTGCACCAGGTTCCAGGTGGTTGAACCCATTTGCAGCATCCATGCGTGATATTTTCTGTGTAGAGGATACACTCTCCATTTCAACACCGTCACGGTAGTTGTCCCCTTGCACCGCTTCAGGCACGGGTTTGTCAAAATTCGCAACATCAGGCGCGATTTCGCTGAATGGGGACAATACTCGGTTACCTGTGAGTGCAACAAAACAAAAATGAAAACCTAGATAGAAATGAATACATTTTGGTCATCCAAAATAAATTTGAAATTACTTATTGATCCGCTTTGACTGTCCCCATGGATTACAAGTGATTTGATTGCAAATATACACTACACTGAAGATCGAGATAGTCTCGAGTCTATGTTTATACAACCTTAAATTTATTATTCAGCAAATGCTAGTTTATGTACAATTTCAGTCACTTCTGCAAATATTTTTATTGCCTTACTCCACCTCACCTTCTATCCTGTAATAGAAGCATTCAAAAGGAGTGTAGTTGTGAAGTTCCCTGTTGCCGTCTCGAGGAGAAATGTGTTTATCCATTGCTTGGCAGGCCAAGTCCGGGTGTTTTGTGATGAGCAATGCAAAGGAGTCACATGGTTTTAACGCTTTAGGAACATCCTCCTGGCTGCTGCTGGAGACAAGCTGGTGAGTATTGTTACAGAATTGTCCGTCAAAAGCTACGGGGCACCACGGACTCTCAATCACCGCTCCAAGAACAGCTTTTTTGAAAGAGGAATTTTTAGCAACCTGTCTCTCTGAGGCAGAAATTTTGGCCGCCTGCTTCTTCAAAGCAAAATCCTTGGCGGCCGGCTTCGTCAAGGCTGAATCTTTGGCTGGCTGATCCTTTTTGGCTGAATCATTGGCTGGCTGCTTCTCCTTGGGTGACTCTTTGACTGTCTGCACCTTCAAGGCTGACTCTTTGGCTGGCTTCTTCTTCTTGGCTGTATCCTTGGCGGTCTGTTTCTCGCCAGTTCTTCAAAATTAAATTTCATTGACAAATTATAAATTCCAGGACCTTCCCACGCAAAGTTGTCTCAATCACCAAATGCAGACAGTATTTGGAAAAAATGTACTAATATCTATTGTTCGTTATCTGTGCGAATACAACTGTTTCATTCACTTATTTACGTAAGGGACATTTAATGCATGAGAACCTTTCCAAATCGTGGTTCCATCAAATCATGTGATCGTGTTTACAGCACCAGCATAAAACGAATGCATAATAATGATTCTGCACTGTCAAATGGTTAATGCACGAATATCTAATTAAGGGGACCGTCTCGCGCAAATAATAAATCGTATACCTTTGAGCGGATCATTCTGAAATTCGGTACACATATGTAAAATGTAAAACAAAATTGTTTTTGTTCGTGTGCATTTTTCGAGAAAAACGAAAGAAAACGTGAAATTAAAATAAAACGAAGAAATAAAGGGGTACTTTAGAAATCAATCTCCTCCTACAGTATATATGCTACAAGGCCGAGACACATGTCATTCGATCCGTAAAGACCATATCTAGCGTTCACGTGTTCAGTTTTTTCAATTTCGAATTTGTTCCTGATGGAGGGGGATTTAAAGAAAAAAAAAATTCTCCCCCCCTCCCCCTTTTTCTAATATACAATCCAAACTATAATGAAATCGGAAAAACTATACACGCAGTTTGTAGAGCTATACCTTACGAATAGAATGATATATCTCCCATTACTGTAGCTTGAAAACTGTAGGAGGAGATAGGTTTTCCGTGACAATAAGTTGAACTTTTCAGGACGGCGCGACAAAGTTTCGTGCGCCTCGAAATAGGCACTCAATAGCTAATTACTTTATATCTAATTAGTTAAAGAACTCTCCCACCCGCTTCCCTTTAAAGAGACGTCATGAACGTAAATATTGGCGTAGAGCGATGGCAGTGTTACCATTGGAAAGAGCATAATTCCAGCTTTCAGATGAGCACAAAAACCGGAAAACGCCAAATTGAAAATTTTAGGCGAGACGGTCCCCTTAACGATTAGCTATAAGAAATAAAATTCTTGATAGAAAATCTATTACCTTCAACCAGGTTAACTGGTGCTCAGTTATGAATATTAATAATAGTATTAGACAATGGAATTTGATTGATTTCACCAATATTCTCAGAAAAGTGTAACACTTAACATACGTATACTTACATGTCTGTATCGTTCAGGCACTGCTTGAAGTATTTGTGTAGTCGGACGCACAAACCATCTTTTTTATCGATTTCCATTTGGGAAAGCAGGAATTTGAAAAGCTCGCCATGTCTGCCGTGAAATGCTTCGTCTACAGGATAATGACCAATTGCATCCTTGACCTTGCATCTCAAATTTTTCAGACAATTCTCATTTTTCTGCGGTCAGAAACGCATTTCTTTCATCTAGTATTCCAGGTTAACTAAACTAAAGACCAGGCAAGTGGTCAATGAAACATTTATTCTTTCAAATGCAAAAAATCATATATTATAATTCAACACCGATCAATCAAAAAGCTAAACATGTTTAGGCTGGTAGCTATCACCATGAAAAAATTTCATTTCACTATTGAAACATCGTTGGATAATTAGCGAATTGAGTTCATACTATTGAAACGTCGCATTGCGGTTAATAAATCATTTACTGTTGGCAAAATAAAGATACTATTTATACAATCAAGGAAATTGATGCGTAACTCACCGTCCAGTTTGTCAACAGAAGTTTTGAACATTCCAAATGGCCATTCCTGGCGGACAAATGCAGTGGGTGGCGTTCCATTTTTCTAAGTTCGCTGAAACCATTTGGCTCCAGATTGCGTAGAAGCAACCGCAAGCATTCCTCGTGCCCATTCTGCGCGGCAATGTGCACAGCACTGCTGGGATTTTGTTTTGTGCATTTCAAGACATCAGGTTTGTTCTCCAGGATGGAGCAGAGAATATCCCGAACTCCGCACATAGACGCCAAGAACAAAGGAGTTTCCCCCTTATTGTTGGGTAAGTTTACAATCTCTTTGGCGCTTCTGAGCAACTCGTTCCGAACTATTCGTCTTTCTTCTTCTTGTGGTTCTGTTTTTGACGCACTTTTCTTTGCCAATAAGTGCAGCGGTGTGTTACCATCTATGTTTGTTTCCGTTCTGCTCACTTTGGTGTTTTCAATTAAAGCTTTCGCGGATGAAAAACTTCTATTACTAATAGTGATATGGAGTAAGCTGTTTTTAAATTTATCGCGATATGCCTCCAAATGTTTATGAAATTCTGCTTTTTTAGCCATTATTCCAAGGTTCTTCAACTTTTTCTTCGCGGCCTGATCAGTGAGTTCTGTAATGACTTTCTCATTCAGGAGATATTCCGGAGTTTTTTTCAACATGTATGCGAAACCCTCTGGATCGTGAGCCGCGGATGAATGTAACGGTAGAAAACCTTGATTGTCTGTTATTGAACAATCTGCTACGAGCTCCTCAACCAAATAGGAGATAACTTGTTCCATGCCCGTGGATGCCGCGTAGTGCAGGGCAGTCTTACCGTCCGAACATCTCATGTTCACGTCAGTGCCCGCAAGTTTCTTACAAATGCCCAAGTATCCCAATTCGGTAGCAAGCATCAGAGCCGTGCGTCCCTTGCTGGTGCGCATGTTCATAAATTCGAGCGTTGAATCGTGACTTTCTGCTTGAAAATTGTTCATTTTTTGCACGGCTGTTAAAAGATGTGCGACGCATTGCTCTGACTTGTGGTGCGCGGCCAAGTGAAGTGGAGTACACTCCTCTTCTGCCGACTCCACACGTCTTTTGGCTCCGGCTCGGCGGACAAACGGACACAACTCCATCGGGTTTCCTCCACAATCCAATAAAATCTTCATGATATTGGGGCTTCCTTTGATCGCTGCCTGATGAATGGCAGTGAGCGATTCCTTGTTCCTTTTGTTTATGACCTCAGGCGTCAGGTAAGCTTGAACCATCCCGCACAGCTGTGTTAAATCATGTTTTACCATGTAATGCAGAGGCGTATTTCCATGCGCATCAGTTTCAGCAAGCAAAGCGCGCTTTTCCTCGATGATTAATTTTGAGAATTCGTCAGGTGCATTTTCTATAGCCACGTGGAGGACAGTTTTGTCTTTGTCGTTCCTAGCAAGCAGCGTTTCCTCCGTTGCGTGACGTAGCAGAAGTTTCAGCACTTCAAATGACCCTTCGCCTCCCTTCAGCACCGCCTTGTGCAGCAACAGCTGTTCTCTGATCTCGTCGTCATGAGAGGCGCCCTCACTCAGGATTCGCTGCAGCGACTGAACATCGCTCTTTTCGATGGCCTGCGCCAAACTTCGCACGATTGGCGATTGCGACCTTAAAACCCGAATAGAAATGAATATTTATATCCAAAGCGCGACAAATCATCAATTTATTAATAATTGAATATTTTTCTCGACCATTATTCACGAGTCAATTCAGAAACAGAGTTCACGAATCTAACAACATTAGTTGGCACAATAAATTTCTTGGTGAGTAAAACGAGTTTTATGTATCAGTATACAAGATTATAGAACAAGTCGGGTAGGTAGGACTAGGATGTGGCATGACATAGAAAACGCAGGACTAAGGAATGGTAGGACTGAAAAATGGTAGGACTAGGAGATGGTAGGACTAGGACATGGTAGGACTAGGACATGGTAGGACTAGAACATGGAAGGACTAGGACATGGTAGGTTGTGAGAAATTCCTCATTTCCCACCGTTAATTAGTATATATGCTAGGGTTTGTTTATAAGATCCATTATTAACCGAATTATCTTACTTCTAGAATCCGATTCTCTATCTTAAGCCGAAGAATAAGTATTACCAGTAGTCTAAATCAGGGGTTCTGCCNTTTGCATTATATTGGAGTAAATCACAGATGAAAAATCTACTAAAAGCAGTCACTACGCTGAAGGAAATTGATTTTTTAACTTATTGGTCAAATGCAAAGCCAAACTATCTAGCTGCAATTTGATTCTATTTTCTGGAGATACTTTAAATTAAATAAATTATATTGTTTCTTCTAACTTTTGAGGAAAGATCATCAATTTCGTCTTCCGAGCCAATACTTTCATTTGAATGCTCATATTTTAATTCATGGGCATTACGGGTGAAGCTAAGGCATGGATGGACGGGCAGATGATTGGTGATAGGCAGAGGCGTGATAACGTTGCATCAAACACAAACCAGAAGACGAGCTGTTTTTTTAAAAGAGATTTTAAGTGACCATTACTTAACTGTCAAATAACGCTAAGGAAGCGGGAGACAAAATGCTTTTATATATTATTTATAAAACATTTATCTTTCATAACATCCTAATTTAAATATATCGAAAACCTCCTAAATTATTCTTTAATATTTTTCGAAGTTAATAACCTCCTCAGATTATTCGCAGGTTCTCCAAAAAGTTGATCTAATTGGTTCAGCGTTAAACACAGCTATTTTGGAGTAACCTCTGCGACAGTGTCCAGCCTTCTTCCCTGGTGGTGCTGAAGAACAGGCGCAGTATAGATACTGCGAGAATTGGCCTGACGCTCACCTCACGCGACTTTCAACGAGCAGACATCTGACCTCACGGACTTTCAACGAGCAGACATCTCACCTCACGGAGTTTCAATTGACAGTCATATCACCTTACGGGCGGACATGTCTTCAACAGCTATCAGAGTCAAAGTCAGCTAAAGTACAATAGTGTCATCTTATCGGGAACTTAGAGTAAACAACATTACATTATTTTTCCCACATCGTTAAACTAAAATTCAGTACGTGGTTGCCGTTTTTTGGTAGTTTCAGTTGTCAAAATTATTATTATTTGGCCCACAGCAAAGTCTACTTCATTTTCGATTTGTAGGGTAACATGGGGCAAAGGGACCACTGCGGGTCATGGGCCCATAGCGGGTTTCCGCTATGCATGTCAGATATTGGTCCGTGCGCTCTACCACCGGTCGACAGTTTCACTGGGCTGAAGTACCCTCCTCAGGGAGCGCCAGTACATGACTAAGAGACTAAATATCTAACATATATCGCACTTATAAAAAGGCTGTATGTAAAATACAATTCTTCGCTGCGCGTGAGGCCAGATTAGGGAGTGAACGATATTCATCACGACTTAGAAGGTAGTTAGTCCGCAGGGCGAAATGATTAGTCGTACTATAGTAATTACGAAAGAACTCATAGCGTCGGAGGCTTGACTTGTTTGCTTCAGCACTGTAAATCACAGGAGGGTCTAAGGTGGCCGATGAAAAGCCGCCCAAAAACCGCCTGGGGTGCGTGATGAGTTTAGGAACGAACTGATTATATTGCCGTCTTTAATATCAGCTTAAAGTTTGTAATTTGAGGAGTTAAAATCTCTTCAGCCATATGGTCTTCACATGACGTGACTCACATCCATTTGATTTGCATTTTCAATACAAGCCAAAGACTCGATATGATTGAAGTTCTCAACAATTTCTTTGGAACAATGTTCCTTGAACAATATTCCATTGAACATAACTACAGAGCCAAGCTAGTTTTTCATTGGCTCAAAAATGTTCAACGTTTGAAAGGCATCATTATACAAAAAGTTTCCGAGTCTAACGTTCGATAGTTCCGTGGAATTAATTTAAACTTTCCCCGCCATTGATGCAGGTATGTTGAACTTAATCCAAAGCTCATGCCATCAGCACCACTAGCATGCGTACCTAGATTAAAGGTTAAGTTCTATATAAGGCGCTACGACCACCGAAGTTCTACGTACGCACGTAGAATTTTAAGGCGCTACGACCACAAAGTTCTACGTACGAACGTAGAACTTTAAGGCGCTACAACCAACAAAGTTCTACGTATATGAACGCAGAACTTTAAGGCGCTACGACCAACAAAGTTCTACGTACGAACACAGAACTTACTTAAAGGCGCTACGACCACAAATTAAGTTCTCCGTACGAACGTAGAACTTTAAGGCGCTATGACCAACAAAATTCTACGTACGAACGCAGAACTTGAAGGCGCTACGACCAAGAAGTTCTCCGTACGAACGTAGAACTTCGAATTAGAAAAAAAAAAACAATCTTATCTTTCCAGTGTCGTGAACACAGCGGCAAACGTCCAATAATGCAATTAGTGTTAGGGTGAATGATTTAGTCTCCAGCCTGCGGCTAGGAAAGGCTACACATTTTACGGTAAGTCAACAAGACAATTATTTTCTTACTAAATTTTATGGCAAGTTGGCAAGACGATTTTTTTCTTACTAAAACTAATTTTATCCTAAAGCATTAAGCTGCATGCTCAAATGTTATGAAAACCAAAGCAAATTCTTTTGATGAAAAAACTCGTATCATGTACGACTCAATGCCGACTCAAAAACTCGTATCATGTACGACTCAATGCCGACTCAAAAACTCGTATCATGTACTACTCAATTTATTTCAACAATCAGCGCTATCATACGGCCCTCCTCGGTATTAAAGTGAAGGCAGATGTGGCCATCAGAAAATGCAGGCGCTGGTTTGCATGCGTCGTCTTCATGTACCAATTGCTTGAAAATTTCCTGGAATGTAAGTTGTCCGGTTTGTTATTCTTTGAATGTGATGTTCTCGGTGCGTTTAGTTCGTTCTTTCGGCGCGTCTTTGTGATGAGAAGAGAGTTGAATTGTGGGTTGCCGCACCTGAACGCGATTGCTTGCAAAATAATGTCTGGGGTTTTGAGCCTCTCAACATAAATTTTTTATGCCCCTAAACAGGAGCTATCAAAATTAATATAAAGGAAAATGGTTTCATACCCGTGACGATTATCTCAAGGGCACGGCACGGCGACGGTCTTTTTTTTTTCTTTTTCTTATTTATTCTTATAGTAACACTGGAAACTAGTCCATAACGCCCCTTGCCTAAACTGGGTTTAATTGGTACCTAACTGTTTAACAGCTCAGTAAAACGTGGTAAAGGGAACAGTGAAAATTCCACGGCGACGGTCCTACGCACATTCCCGGCGGCCGCGTGCTAATCGTAGAAGGTTATACGTACAAACTGATCTTGTGCTGCGTGGAAGGATCGGGGGTAGACCCTTGGTAATTTTCGGTAAATTTGTTGTCCTTGGTTTCTGTACTCTTCACAATGTAAAGATAATACAAATATTATTCAGATAATTTGTTTCTAGAAAAAAACTTTCTTAGTTATTTTAATTCTCGTCTCAATCTCAAGTCTAATTTCCTAGCCCAGACCTTTCTGGGCTAGGAAAGAAAGCCAAAGAAGTCGACTAGAGACTCGACTACTCACCAGTCCGCCAAATTACAGCAAACAGGGAAAAGAACGCACTAGGCCATAGAAATTTCAGCTACTCGTTCAGCTCCTTGTAGAATTGTTTCAATTCGCTCACGTAAATTTATTACGACAAATTTGCTGTCGTTTGTAGTTATCTACAAAGCTATTAATGACCTACTCCCAATTGCTATCCAATTTCCATATAATATATTCAGTGAAATATTTCGTTAGAATTTTTACCCAATTCAGTTTCAATTCATTGGTTGCGGCAACTTAAGAAATTACAACTTGAAATTAAATATGATCGTCATAAATAAATACCGATCATAATTAGCTCAGTTTAAATCACACACTCTTATATACGTCATCGGTGAGTTAATTAAAAGACAGCTACGACAATATAGTAGGAAATGAAAAGATATTTCTGTATTGGATACTAACATTTTTATTATTTTATTGAACGGTTATGTGCATTATTTTGCAGGTTATCCCGGCGCTAACGGTTGCCCCAGCAGGTTAAC